AATTATTCAAATGGTGGTACACATAAAGGTGACCTAGAGGCTTTTTACAGTATCCACATATTTTTGGTTTCATTTTTCTTATTGCTCTTCTGGGTGTTTTTTGCTTCCTTTTAATCCAAATCACATATTGGATTTCACTTCATCTACTCTCTTGTTGATACCCTGTAAAGTATTCGTTTCGTGTCCTTCATTTCTGACTGGTGCTCTTTTTTATGAGGTTCTCACTAAGTTCATTGAGCATCCTTATAACTACATCTAGTAGATTACTTGTCTCCAGTTTGTTTAGTTCTTTCTCTGGAGTTTTGTTCTATTACATTTGGGACATCTTTCTTTGGTTATTTTGGCTGCCTTAGTATGTTTATTTCTATGTATTAGGTATAGCTGCCACGTTTCCCAACCTTGATAATGTGGCCTAACATAGTAGGTGTTCTGTAGGGTCCAGTGGCACAGCCTCCCTGGTCACCCGAGCTGGACACACTAGGTGTGGCCATCCTCCCTACTTGGGCTGTGTACACCCTCTTCTAGTTGAACCTTTATTACAGTTGGCATGTCAACATAAGAAATTTATCCCCAGGCCATTGAGCTGCAAAGGACTGGCAGTAACCACTGACATCCAACCACCATGGAAGATCAGCTATGCAGGGGCTGACCCTACAGAGCAGAACTTATTTCATAGGGCCGCTGGTACCCACAGAGTTCTCCCCTTGATTATGTCACTTATGGAGGTGATTGAGTGGTATTTCAATGTGATATGAAGTGACAACTGGTTGTACAGGCCTTGGGGCCTCCCAGGAGGTGCAGCCACCACCTGTGTTTTGCCTGGTGCCATGGCATGAGCTACAAAGCCGTCTGCAGATGGCTTCTACTTGTGCTGGGCTTGGAGGTGCCCAAGAGAGGCCAAATGTCAACCACGGCTGGCTCCTGCTATTTCCGGGCCTGGGGCCACTTAGGAAGAGGTACGGGGCACAAGATGCTGCTTGTTTGTGTGATTTTAGAAAATCTGAAGCATGAACCAAGACACACATTTCCGATGGAAAACCCCTAGAAACCAGTTGTTGACTTGGGGGGGCCTCAGGGTATCACCAGGGCAGGGCAAAGATTGGATGTGGGCTCTGGGTGGAGGGATCATCAAAGGAACAGTGGCCAGCTCACACCTAGCTTAAGATGCTAGACAGTTCAGCTCTTCCCTGTATGTTGCTGCTCCCCCTGTGCTGGAGCTCAGATCGAGTGAGTCAAAGTCCTTGCAGAGGAACTACCTGGGACTCCAGTAGCCCTCCATCTCACCCAGCCACACTTCCTGCTTTTTTTCACAGTCCAGAAGTTATGGGGACCTCTTTTCTTAGTACCTTGTATTCTCGCGGGGCGAGGCAGACCTTAACACCTGAGATACCTTTCCAGTTTTTTTATCTGCCACACCTGGCATGGGACTAACCCTTTTTGGTCTCTGTCCTTCCTACAAGTCTCACAATGGCTTCTTTAAATTCCCTAGTTGTAGGACGTCTGTTCAGCTATATTTCAGGCAGTTTTAAATGATTGTTCTTGTAGGTTAGTTGTAAATTTGATGTGGTGGTGGGAGAAGGCGAGTACTGCATTTACTGAAAAGTAACCTGTGTGGTTCGTTGGAAAAAATAGTAGCTAATTTGGTTGTGTGTCTTTGTGTTTCACATGTGTTGAAATGCTAGAATTTTTGAATGACTGTATTAAAATGACAACTACTCAATGGTCAGTTTTTCATCAAATTCTAAACTGAGTCTTTTGTAACAGATACTTAGTGTTGGATGAAGCTGATAGGATGCTAGATATGGGGTTTGAACCCCAGATACGCCGTATAGTTGAACAAGATACTATGCCACCAAAGGGTGTTCGCCACACCATGATGTTTAGTGCTACTTTTCCTAAGGAAATACAGGTACTGTTTGATACAATTCTTTTTAGAACATTTTTATTTACAAGTAGTACATTTGCTTCAGATAACTAGAAAAACTAAAGTAGATAGTAAGTTAGAGTTTCTTCCCTTTTTCAGATGCTTGCTCGTGATTTTTTGGATGAATATATTTTCCTGGCTGTAGGCAGAGTTGGCTCTACCTCTGAGAACATCACACAAAAAGTAGTTTGGGTGGAAGAGTCAGACAAACGGTCATTTCTGCTTGATCTGTTAAATGCAACAGGTAAAATAATAAAAAATAGTGTATGTTTGATGTTTTTGGATCTTTTTAACTCTTATCCTTCCTTTTGCCCACCCTTTTTCTGACCCTTAAAAGAAAGCTTATTTTAATTAACTCAAATGTGCATGCTTGCTTAAGGTGGAAGAGAACTAAGCTGATTAATATTTACATCTATTTAATACTTGATGCTAAGTTGCTATTAATAAACCAAACCTTTATATACAATTTTTCAGGGAGAGATTCACTGACTTTAGTGTTTGTGGAGACCAAAAAAGGTGCTGATTCTCTGGAGGATTTCTTATACCACGAAGGATATGCTTGTACTAGTATCCATGGAGACCGATCACAGAGAGATAGAGAGGAAGCCCTTCACCAGTTTCGATCAGGAAAAAGCCCAATTCTAGTGGCTACAGCTGTGTGTATATTTTTATTTTTGAGTTAAGCATGTTTGAATATTGCTTTTTTTAACAAAATTTATTTTTCAGGTGGCTGCAAGAGGACTAGATATTTCAAATGTGAAACATGTTATCAATTTTGATTTGCCAAGTGATATTGAAGAATATGTACATCGGATTGGCCGTACAGGACGTGTAGGAAACCTTGGTAAAGTGTTGTTTGATGGTTAGACACAAAATCTTAAATACTAGAAACATCATTTTCAAAGGGAAAACTGACATCTGTTGTCAGACACTAAAAGTTTTTGTGTCAGTTTCTAAGTTGGTTACATTGCAAGTTATTATGTTTTTGTGTTTTACTTAGTGTTCTACATGCTTAAAGTAAGAATTACTTTATGGAAAACTACACCACATGTATTCTTTTGGATTCTTAACAGGCCTTGCCACCTCGTTTTTTAATGAAAGAAATATAAATATTACGAAGGATTTGTTGGATCTTCTTGTTGAAGCTAAACAAGAAGTGCCGTCTTGGTTAGAAAATATGGCTTACGAACATCACTATAAGGGTAGCAGTCGTGGACGGTCTAAGAGGTACAGATTGTTTTGAGTCTTTATTATTTTTGTTTTGGAAATAATAATAACAGGACTTGACCATAACGAAAAATCAGGAATTGGAGTTTAAGGAATTACCTGGGTGAATTTTCATTTTATACTGATAAACTAACACAGTGTTTTCCCTTATAGTAGATTTAGTGGAGGATTTGGCGCCAGAGACTATCGACAAAGTAGCGGTTCTAGCACTACAAGCTTTAGTAGTGGTCGTGTAAGCAGCAGCCGTAGTGGTGGAGGAGGTGGTCACAGCAGCAGCAGAGGATATGGTGGAGGTAATATTAATTTTCCCCTTTATAACTTAGGAAAGTGGAAAAGTTATTTTACTTCCAAAAAACACAAAATCCAACATTATAGATTTTCCTCTTTCTTTCCCCCCCCTTTTATTGAAATACTTGAGAAACAGGGAGATAATTACAGCAGCTAACATAATCTCTTTAAACATTTTTTGACAGGTGGCTATGGAAGCTTCTACAGTAGTGACAGCGGATATGGAGGAAATTATACCTCCCAGGGGGTTGACTGGTGGGGCAACTAAACCTGCTTTTCACTAAACATCACCCTTTCAAATGAGCTAATATGGAAACCACATGTAACTTAGCCAGACTATATCGTGTAGCTTTAAGAACTTGCAGTACATTACCAGCTGTGATTCTCCTGAAAATTCATGGAAGATCAAAGTCACAAGAAGAAAGAAACTAACAGCCCATTCAGAAGTTGGTTCAAAGACTTAATTACTCTAGATTGGATTAACTCCCATCCTGCTTATTTTCCATCCCAAGCTGCGTTTATAATTTTGTGACTGAGAATCATTTGTTCATATACTGTAACTTGAACTTTTTAAACAACTTATTATTTTGATGTCCTGTTGGCTCAGTAATGCTCAAGATACCAATTGTTTTGACAAAATAAATTTCTGAACTTGGGCTAAAACCAAACCTTGGCACACAGGTGTGATACAACTTAACAGGAATTATCAATTTATCAATAAATAGTATAAGGTTAAAAATAATTTAGGCAGTAGCCTCTCGTTAGGAATTTTTAATACTTGCAGACTGGGGAGAAGAACATCTTAAGCAAAACTAGTTTCTAATATGGCTAAATGCAATATGTTAAAAGTTCTGACTTGCTCACTCTATCCTGGAAAAGCACTTAGAATCTTGTAGTTATCAAATCATTTCAGTCATGATGAGGTGGCATGTATAAAAACTTCCATGCATTTTTCAAAGCACTCTTTAAAGTTAATGCAAGTAACGACTGCAATTCTTCTAATATTATTATAAGCTAGGCAAGTGTGGGCTACTATTATTGGGAAAGTTTAAATGTTTGATTTTAAAGTGTTTGGGAGGGGATTTATCTAACTAGATTATTTTAATGCCTGCCATAAAAAACTGAAATGGTAGAATGGCTTACCATGGCAGTGACTTCTCCTTTTTATGGGCCTGGTTGGATTTTGGTCTGTAGGATGCTAGTGTTGGTGTTCTTTGGTCAAGAGGATACAAGCAGGGAGAATTATGCAGCAGGCTTTATTTTAATGCAGTTTCACATTCTGTTTGAGCTGTGTTGAAATGTTAAAATGGCTTACACTTGTAGACTTTGTAAATTATAATAAATCCTTGAGATCACACAAGTTGGAAATATGTACTAAACTGCACACGGTGTTCTTTCTTTATAGTGCAGTTTTAGTCTTAGTTGTATAGGTTTCCATTGTACTTATAGTCTGTGCTAAATTTGGCCAAAGATTATCATTCACCACTAAAAATGCCTCTGCTACTTGGAATTCTGTGCTGATTTTATGGCTAGAAAGCCGTAATCTTTATAAGCTAACCTTTATGGTTGCATAAGAAGGCAAAATTTTCTTAAAAGTGCAATAGATTTTCAGGAGTATTGTGCCTTGTTCTAAAACTTGAGGTGCAGTTGACAGTATTAAGGTCATTTGTTATGGTGCTATTTCAGTTAGTACAGGTTTAGACTCTTAAACACTTTGCCCATAACTTTTTACAAAGTACTTATTTGATTGCACATCCAGAGAATTTTATATGTGTGTGTGTGTGTGTGTCTTGTGTGCGTGTCCTTAAACTTACAATCTCATTTTATCTCTTGGAGATTGTTGAATGCAGCTTAAAAACTAGATTCTAAAATTTTATTTGGGACCATGGAATGATAGTTGTGAAGAAACTGTTTGCACATGACAGATTTTAGATACTTTTGCTGCTACTTTGTGTGATATTTATTGAACATTCTGACAAATATTTATTTTTGTAAGCCTAAAAGTGATTCTTTGAAAGTTTAAAGAAACTTGACCAAAAGACAGTACAAAAAACACTGGCACTTAAATGTCACCGTATGTGAAATAATATATTTCGGGGTAGTGTGAGCGTTTAATGTTGAGTCCTGTTAAACTTGAGTCAAATTAAGCAGACCCAGCATTGGTAGTGTAACTAGCTGTGACTTTCTGACAAAACTGGCACTTAACATTAAAATTTGCCAAGGTTTTGATACACTTGTCTTTAAATATTGATACACTTTTAAACACTGATAGGAAATGTCCACATTCTCAAAGGTTTTGAGTTTTGTTTAGTTAGTGTGGGTGTTTTGTTTGGTTTTCACTGTCTGGCATATTTGCAATCCTCAAACATGTGGTTATCTTTGTGTATTTCCATAATTTGTGACTTTTACATTCTTTTTTATCAGCCAGTTATATAAGGATTGGTTTAAACTTGCTGAGTGTAGTCATTGAACCTCAAGTCACTGTAGGTTTAGTAGTTTTTTATTGTATTAGTTTTAGCTGCTAGCACTGCATGTGCTGTGTTTATTCTGATTTTACTGAAATAAAAGTTGAACACAATCTTTTTGCTGTTAGTTGTGATTTAATGAGAGAGGTTGAAAAGTATTGCTCTAAACCTGAGGAATTGGAAATTTTTGGTTATTCTTTGAGATTTATTGGTTATCCACCAAAGCTGTTGTGAAATGCCTCTTTTTTGTGAAGCAAGAAGTACTCTTGTGCCTTTAATGTTGAGATATGTGAAGTATAAATACCAGAAGTCTATAAGGCCTGTGTATAGTATGCATTACATTAACCTATATAAGGATCAAGAATTATTTAGAGCAAAGCAGTTATGACACAGATGACATAGGTACCCAAGCCTCTAACTGATTTCTTCTATTGGCTAATAATCCATTATCACACTAATGTAGACAGTCACTATGAATTAGCAAATGTTATAAGAACCAAACCAGGTTAACATAATATGAAAAAAGTATATTTTTAACAGAGTCACTCTCAATGTCCTTTTTGTCCCCTTCTTGGCAACTAAACCTGCCATCAGTGTAGAGGGTAAGTACTACTCTGATTTCTAACAGTGTAGTTGGCTTTTATCTGTTAATAAACTCTGTATATATTGTAATTTATAATGTACAGGTTATTTGACTCAGCATTACATCTGAGATAACATACTGTCTATAGTTGTTAGCTTTATTCTAATTGCTATGTGGAATTAGGTTATATGCTGAACACCTGCATTGAATTCAGCATGGATTAGGGGTCGGTGGATGGAAAATATGAGAAAAGAAAATTGGGATGTGGATGGGGGAATTTTGGCTAACCTTAAGACTCTTGGTGAGGGCAGACCAGGGTTATTAGACAACTCG